CCAGGCAGATGAAGAACCCGCAGCCCTCAGGGTGTCCTTGCCCGAACGCGGGGGAACCCTGGAGAGAGAACCTGTGCCACAAGGGAGGCACGCCGCCCTCGTCCCCTCCAGCCGCAAGGGCGCAGCAGAACGCGAAACTGGCAGCCCTGGGGCTCGCTGCCCTTCCCGCCGCCGTCACGCTCGCGCCGGTGGTCCTCGGAGCAGGTGTCGGCGCCCACGTGTGTGCCTGTCCACTGCGGCCTCGCAGCGCGACGCAGGCACGGTGCTGAGGCCCGACGCAGGCTGCGTGGAGCTGAGCGGGGCAGAGGCCCGCTGGGACAACACACGTCCTGAAGTAATTAGCAGTCGTCGTCCTACCGCCGCCCAGAGCAACGCTCCGTGGAGGTGTCCTGGCCCTCGGCGCCGCCGCCCCTTTTGCGCGTCTGGCCTTTTCTGGCACGCTGGCGCACGCTGCACCGGAGTCCCTCGCGGCCGAGGGGCTTACCGCAGTCAGCGCCGGCACAATGACGCGAGAAGAGATGCCGAAACTTGGCGGCGGGCGAAGGGGGAAGTAAGACGGAAGGCCTTCTCAGAAGGAGCCGGTACTTCTCAGAAGCCCTCGCGCCTTCTGAGGAGGCTTTGGCGTGTCTTCCGGGAAGGCTTGGGAGACTTCTCGGAAGGCTGGGGGACTCCCGAGCCTCCTGAGGAGGCTCGCCCCTTCTCACTTCCCCCCGGGCTCGCCGCCGATATTGGCTGAACCCAATAGCTAGAACCCGCTCCGCGTCCTCCTCCTCCTCCGAGGAGGAGGAGGAGGGAGGAAGAGGAGGGAGGAGGAGAAGAAGGAGGAGGAGGAGGGAAAGGAGGAGGAGGAGGAAGAAGGAAAGAAGAGGCAGGAGGAGGAGAGGAGGAGGAGGAGGAGGAGAGGTAGATGGAGGAGAAGGGAGGAGGAGGGGGAGGAGGAGGAGGGAGGAAGAGGAGGGAGGAGGAGAAGAGGAGGAGGAGGAGGGGAGGAAGGGAGGAGGAGGAGAGAGGAGGAGGAGAGGGAGGAGGAGGAGGAGGAGGAGGGAGAAGGAGGGAGGAGGAGGAGGAGGAGGAGGAGAGGGAAAGATGGGGGAGGAGGAGGAGGGGGAGGAGGAGGAGGAGGAGGTGGAGAGGAGGTGGAGAGAAGAGGAGGAAGGAGAGGAGGAAGAGGAGGACGAGGGAGGATAGGTAGGAGAGAGAAAGGGAGGTAGGGAGGACGATGAGGACGAGGAGAGGGAGGAGGCTCTGCCGGCCGCCCGCTGCCCCGGCGCTCATCCGCACGTCCCCATGTAGGCGATCAGGTCCGCGCGCTCCTGGGAGCTGCTTCGCCCCTTTCCCTTCTCATCCTTCTCGTCCTCCCTCCTTCTCCCATCATCCTCCTCCCCTCCTGCTATCCTCCCTCCTCCTCCCCCTCCTCCTCCCTCCTCCTCCTCTCCTCCGTCCTCCTCCTCCTCCTCCTCCTCCTCCTCCTCTCCTCCTCCAATTCTTCTCCTCCTCCCTCCTCTCCCCCTCCTCTTCCTCCCCTCCTCCTCCTCCTCCTTCCTCCTCCTCCTCCTCTCCTCCTCTCCTCCTCCTCTCCTCCCCTCCTCCTCCTCCTCTCCTCCCTCCTCCTTCTCCTCCATCTCTCCTCCTCCTCCTCCTCCTCCTCCCCTCCTCCTCCTCCCGCCTCCCTCTCTCCTCTTCCTCCTCTCGTCCTCCTACCTCCTCGTTCACTCGTCTCCCCCTCTCCCCTTCCTCTCCCCTCCTCCACCCTCCTCCCTCTCTCCCCCCTCCTCCTCTCCTCCTCGGCTCGCTGCGGGCCGTCAGGCCCACAAACGTGGCTGCTCGTGTAATGCTCCTCCTCCTCCTCCTCCTCCTCTTCCTCCTCCTCCTCCTCCCCCCTCTCCTCCCCCTCTCCCCCACTCTTGCCCACCCCAGGACGAGGAGGCCCTCGTTGGGCCCAGGGGGGGGGGCCCTCGTCGCCAAGCTTGAGGAGCAAAAAGCGCCGGGATGGGCCGAGCCCCGATAACAATTAGTAACCGCGCCGGCAAGCCGAACCTTTAGTAAACGCGCCCACCACGGAAGGAACCGAAAAGGGCGGGGCTAATCAATAAACGCCCAGGGCCGTGTCGTAAACGTCAATTGTCCGGTCCGGGTGTTTTTTTTCCCTCCCTGGATCTTGCCCACCCCAGGACGAGGAGGCCTGCGTTGGGCCCAGGGGGGGCCTCGTCGCCGAGCTCGATGAGCGAGAGTGCCAGGATGGGCCCCGCTGCTCTTTCGAGGAGGTGCGCTCGAGGCGTCTCGAAGGGTTCTGTGGCAACTCGTGGGAGCCTCCCACATCATCTCGCCGGCTCCTGCGACTCGACGCGAATCGATGCCAAACCGACGCCAATCGATGCTACATCGACGCTAACTGACACTAGCCGACGCGAAAGCGGCGCTATCTCATCGACTCCCAGACGCTAATCGACGCCAGTCGACGCTAAAGACGGAATCAACAGGATACGCCAGGCTCTCATGATTTGCTACCTAAAAGGTGGGTCTAAAACTTCATCAGCGCGCCAGCGCACGTGCATTGGCGGCAGGCAGAAGGGGGGCAGGAGGAGGGGGAAGGCTTCGTAGAAGCAAGCTGCTTCGTCTTCGAAGGCGCTGGCTTTGCATCTACAGAGGAGGCCCGCGCCCTCTAAGGAGCAGGGGTGCTTCTAAGAAGCCTTCCCCCCTCCCCCGAATCCCCCCGCTGCGCGTGGCCGAGTGCAGCTCTGTGCGCTTGGCGGCCTTAGGAGCCCCAGGGACCCGTCCCGAGCGGAGACTCCTGGACTCTGTGCCTCCCGACCTCTCCGCCACGGGCCCCGGGGGCACGCAGGGAAGGGTCCGCCACGAGAAAACTCTACCAGGGACTGGCTACCTGCCAGACCACCCCAACCCAACCCGAAGGCCCCGATTTCGGGTTGGGGGGGTACGTGTTCCACACATGTTCTGTTCAATGTTCCCCGACCCCACCCCCCACCCCCCACTGGAAATGGAGGGTAAATCGGGGCCTTCGGGTGGGGTTGGGATGCTTTGGTGGGCGGTGAGGGATGGGGTTGAGAGCTCCAGGGACCCACGTCGTGAAAAGATCACGGCTCCAGATGTCCAGGAAGCGAGAAGGACCGACGCGGAATAAGAACAGCATGAAACCCGATCCCCGAAACCGCGCGCTGCAGACGGAGATACTTCGTAGGGGGCTCCGTGGCCGAACCTGTTGCACGCTGCAAACCGGCGAGATGCCTTGCAAGGCCCTAGGCTCGAAGTCCTTGCCAGATGCCCCAGACCTGGAGGAGGAGAGTGACGTCCCACGCAGCAGGGGAGGCCCATACAAGGATCGTCCAGTCTCGCGCTCTCGCGTGCGACCGATGGAGAAGGACAGCTCTCTGGCCCAAGGCCGCCAAGCTCGAAGCACGACGATTTTCACGGCCCCTGCGGGTGACAAAGGATACCAAGACAGTGCCGAAAAAATGCCGACGATCGCGACGGTGGTCCACGCATTCAACCGATTCCTCTAATGACGCTGTGTGGCATATTCGTGTCGTGACGGCTTGCGCGTTGGTCTGTGACACCGCGTGGATCGTTCAGTAAGACGAAGCCTGGACGAGGATAAATAGAGAATCTCTGAGATCCCGCGGCTCTGGAGGATGTCTCGGGCGCCGCGGCCTTCCCAGAGCGTTCCGGAACGCCCTGGAACGGAGTTATCCCCGCCCTGGCCCCGCCAGATCTCATGACGCCGTGTGGCAAATTCGTGTCGTGACAGCTTGCGCGCTGGACAGTGATGAAGGGGCCCCAGGACACACGAATAAATACACACAAAGAAGATGACTCCCCATACAGTATTCTCCTGTATTCTTGAGCCTTTGCCTTCCCCCCCACTTCCCATATCTTCCCATATCTTCCTGGGAGTCGACGATTAATTGTGTCTGTGTGTTTCTGTCCCTCCTGAAGTGACACCGCGTGGAGCCTTCAGCCTCGAAAGGTCGGCGGCCTCTCCATCGCCAGACCGCTCCGCACTGGCCGACTAGCCTGGCCACCGGCGGCGCCGACCCTCGACGAGCGCGAGCGGCGGGGTCGCCGCCGCGCCGACGCGGCGCGGCTCTGCCACGGCACGACGCCGCCGCGCGTCGTGCCGTGACGGCTTGCGCGTTGGCCTCTGCCACCGGACGGTCGCAGCTCCCCGACGGCCGAGGATCGTTCGACGAGTCGGCCGATGTTCTGAACCACCGGCGGCGCTCCGCCCTGAGCGCCCGCAGCGGAGTCGCCGCCAGACGAGCGCGTTCCACTGCACGTCGGTCGGAAGAGGCAGGCAAAAACATGAAGTAGGAAGCCGGATCAAATACCGTGGGTTTCGGCCCTCCCAGACCATAACAGCACACAGCAGAATCAGCTCGATTCTTGAGGCAGGGCGGCGCCTGACGCGGATTGGGATCTGGGGGTCCAAGAATGCCTGCTCTCACCGACCGGCGTGCCCTCGCGGAGAAGCCGCTCGCAAATGGCCTGGGTCCGCCGGGGGGCATTTGCGCCACAGTACACCGACGCAGACATGAGCTTTCCGGACGCTCGCGAGCAGACTCTCTGCAAGCATCGGAGACGCGCTCGGGGAGCCGCCGCGTCGGCGCGGCACGAGCTGCTGCACCGGGCCGCAGAGGGGGAATGCACGAGCGCTGGACGAGGAAAGGCAGGGCTGCGACACGCGGAGCGCCAGCTCGCACGCACGGCAGCCGATGCGGCCACGGCGGCCCGCAGCCTCCGACGGTGCAGTCCAGATCGCTGTCGCGCTCGTCGCCGGCAGCAGTGTCCGTTTTGCCGACTTCGGCGCCTGAGATGCTGATTGACACTCGCACTGTGGTGGTTGTGTTCCACGTCGTGCACACACACACACACACACACGCACACGTACACGCTGCAGCACCTGCCACGGATTCACTCCCCACTGCCCTGCAGCGGCGTTAGAATATCCGAACGACTGCTCCGCCAACACAAGAAGTTTGAGA